GGCAATCCTTACAGGATGTACATATATCAATAAGTGACTGATCAATCGCAGTCCTAATCATCGATGGGAAGATTCAAGTAAAGTAATACCAAGTAAATTAATACTTCTTATGTGATTATTATTATTATTATTATTATTATTATTATTATTATTATTATTATTATTATTATTATTATATCTGTAATTACCTCCATTGGAATAACAGGAAAGATAACTTGTCCTGTTCTTTTGATCTTAATTATTTTAATGAATTGGCGGGAACCTGGAGAACTATGAAAGTCATCATCCAGAAGATACAAGTATTTATTAACAGTTGTCTGCACAAAATACTTCGGATTCGTTGACCAGACACTATCATCAACATCCTACTGTGAAAGAGAACAAACCAGATTCCAGTGGAGGAAGAAACCAGGAGGAAGCTCTGGAAGTGGATAGGACACACATTGAGGAAAGCACCAAAGTGTGTCACAAGACAAGCCCTCACATGGAATCCTGAAGACCAAAGGAGAAGAGGAAGACCAAAGAACACATTACGCTAAGAAATGAAGACAGACATGAGAAAAATAAACGAAAATTGGATAGAACTGGAAGGAATGCCCAGGACAGAGTGGGTTGGAGAATGTTGATCGGCATTCTATGCCCCATTGGGCATAACAGGCGTAAGTAAGTAAATTTCAATGAATTAGTTTAAAACAATCACAATAAAATGAGACTCAAACAAACATAAAATCAATAATCAATATTCTACTAACCCAATAGAATATATACTTTGTCATTTTCCTTATATTCACTTGTCGACTGACAAACGTTTCATTCGGTATATTGATTTGTTTATTATTTATGTATGCTTATATGTATATACGTATACGTTACAGTGTATAATTCTATCCATTGTTACCATATAACTTACCTAGTCAAACTAATCTGGTTATTGGAAATTGAGTATAATTACATTTATCCATATACATACAGTATGACAACATATTTTGAAAGCTTCACCATAGTTGAAAGTATACGTACTATGGATACAGTAATGATTTAATAGCATAGGCTATTAATAATTTCCTTCTTGTGAGATAGATTAATTCATATTGTAGATTAGGTTGGTCAAAATGACATTTAAAATTGAGTATAGTGATTTTAATAATTATAAATCCGAGAAGGATTTTATGGATATTATAGTCAGTCAGCAGTTGAATACATGAGTCAATTGAAGCTAGACCACCAAGGGGAAACCTCGAAGCACTGGATGGCTGTTTCGTCCTATTGTGGGACTCTTCAGCAGTGTGCATCCACGATCTCACCTCACAAGATTCGAACCCTGGACTTATCGGTCTCGCGCCCGAACGCTTAACTTCTAGACCATTGAGTTAGCCGGCATCCAATAGTGTGAATGTCTAAATTCAACTAATCCACGAAATTGAGCTGCACATATACCATAATCATCAGTGAATTACTATCTGACAACAGACCCGGTTGAACTCCGCTGGTCACTGGTTCTCCTTAGAACTCTAGGAAAATTCATTTTGATAATAATCAGAGGGGAGTCACAATAACTTAACCGATTTATATCCAAGTGTTATATATTCTAATATCCCCATTTTTCAACTACATACTCTATAAAATTAATGTTGAATTATGTCAGATTATTCTTTTTTTGAGGAGTTGCTGATAGTAGTAGATAAAAAGCGATAGGGTTAGGTTTCATTTAAATTGATATTTATCACCAAGATGTATCTTCAGTCCTAAAGGAACTGATATTAATCACCTGTCCCATATAGCCTTCAAGTCAGAGATGTTATCATTCAGATAAATGAATGTGATGTATGGACATCGATTATCCCTAAAAACGTCCATAGAGATATCGCCCTATTTAGACCTGTGGCCACATTACAAGTTAACTGATATTTGTAAACATGTAAAAATGGTGACAAGAAGATGAAACTAGAAAATATGTCCTTTCTGGTTACTTTGATGTAAATTTATATTATCAAATGAGTAACGAGTTTTAATTTTTGGTGAAATCTCATTATATGGTATATGTTGATTAAAAAAAATAATGAAAAAGTTGTTCTTAGCAATAAATCAAGATGAATTTCATTTTCATTCACGAAATTGCGCAACCATCTTCCATTGTACTGAGGTAGATACCTGTCTCTACCCGACTCGGGTTAGTTCAACTGGTCACGGTTTCTCATTAGAACTTCGAAAATTCCCTCACAAAGCTAGTCACTAGTGAACTCATGGTAATTACCAATATGAGGTTTATGGAAGCTGTGACCAATGGAACTAATCTGTGTCGGGTAGAGACAAGTATCTGCCTCAGTACAATCGAAAATGGTCGCGCGATTTCGTGGATTGAGATTAGACATTAACAATGTTTGAGACCGGCTCAGTGGTCTAGAGGTTAAGCGTGTGTGAGCGAGACCGAAAACCCTTGATTCGAGGTCTCACGAGCGGGACCGTGGATGCGCACCGCTGAGAAGTTCCACAGTAGAACAAAACGGCCTTTCAGTGCTCCCAGGTTTTCAATGATGGTCTAACAGCAATCGGTTCATGATCTCAATCAAAAACTTAATAATCTCCACAACCCCATACTGATTTATATTGAATTACAAAACAGGTTAAAAGATTGTATTTCAATACCATATACACTGTGATGAATTATCCTACAGACTTTGAGTTAATCGAGTGATTTGCACTAAAGTATGAACAGTTTATATTTCTGACAAAAAGCACATCGAACAAAATTATTTTCTACACAATCTTACTACTTACAAGTAGACAAAATAAATAAACGAAATTCTAACCGATGAGCATGCTTCTAATCTACAGTAAAGATCTAGAGGACGAACTTCTTGGAATAAGACTAGCGATAAGTTTCAACTAAATTGAGATTAAACTCGTTTTTATCTCCCAGATTCGCTTCCCGTCTGTTGACTTTGTCTGTTTGTTGGGATATTCAGGAAAATATCCCAAAAATTATCCTGCTAAGCCTAATGCTATCCTTCGACATGGAATGGTATCATCTTATTGGTCAATATTTGTTTAACGTGTCATTTTCCTACTGGCCATTATTGTACAATGTTATTTTCTATTTTATGGTACGTTGTGGTCTGCTTGACTGGTATATAAACAAAGTATGTTTGAAATATAAGGATTCATATCTCAGAGGTTGTGACTTGTCTTCTGGACTCAACTGGCTGGGCTGGACAGGGAAGCAGGGCCAATCAGAACCCTAGGTCGTTCTACGTGTTTGTGCGTCTTTGGTCCGATCAATAATTCGCTACCCTGTAATCTGCCGTCACAGTTATGGCACTGTTTCAAGTACTACTTTAGCTATTAAAACTCTCTAGTTTGACTCAACTTCAGATGTTTAAATGTCTCATGCTTTTTAACAACGTCCTACCTGTGTTATTCGTTTTTGTTTCATTCTCAATGCTTCATTACTTTCTTCACCTTGTTATAGAGTTTTATTCGCATGTCTTCTGATTTACTCATTCGTATGGTGGCAAATTTGTCTCCATTGAAATATAAATCCCACTCAACTTTGTATGTAATCACTAAGATAACAGTGTGATATACGGAGTTTAATGTGAAATGTGTTGTGCATGTGTATACTTTAGGTATTTTTATAAGCAGACAAACCATAAAAGAAGACGAAACAGTACAACGCGTTATTTGGATGGACTACGTAATCAATCGACAAGTGGATGGACGCTTTAGTTTATATATAAGTCAAATAAGCAAAGAATCAAATAAACAATAAGCAGATATATCCAGAATTATCTTTAGTCAGACGTAAAGTCAAGGCTAATTATGCATGAATACATACAATATAAACGATAACATTTCAAAGATTCATTCAGTGATCCCGAAAGTGTTTGTATCAAATTATCAAGTTAATTCATCACTTAATTGTTAATCTAAATAAGTATTCATTATTATCAAAAAAGTATGAAGCTGTTACATCCTTTGTATGAACTACTACTTGGATTGCATACTTGATCTGGAAACAGCGCTTAATCTATACTCTATAAATGATTCTATTAAATCTTACCACAATATCATATCATCTAATTCATGGAAGCCTTTAATTCAACTACTATTAATCTGTCAAAACAACTCTTTAGAATTCAGTAGTTCATGAGTTCGTAATAAAATATAGTTATGAGGTTATAAGTAACTTCTTATTTCAATGTGTTATCACAATTCAAAATCCAAACAAATACTAGAGTTGACAAATAATTACTTCTCATTTAAAAAATTCGATGGTGAAACCCTAGAAGATGTAGAATTCTTCACATACCTGGGAAACATCATCGATGAACAAGGAGGTTCAGATGCAGACGTAAAGGCGAGGATTGGCAAAGCAAGGGCCTCATTCCTTCGATTGAAGAACATATGGAACTCAAAACAACTTTCAACCAATAACAAAGTCAGAATCTTTAACACGAACGTCAAGACAGTCAGTTCTACTGTATGGAGCTGAAACTTGGAGAACTACAACAACCATCATCAGGAAGATACAAGTATTTATAAATAGCTGTCTACGCAGGACACTCAAAATCCATTGGCCGGATACCAACACCAACAACCTTTTGTGGGAGAGAAAAAACCAGCTTCTATCTGAAGAAGAAATTAGGAAAATATGATGGAAATGGATAAGACATATATTACACAAATCATCAAACTAGATCACGAGGCAAGCCCTGACTTGGAATCCTGAAGGGAAGCTGAGAAGATGAATGTCAAAGAACACATGGCGTCGGGAAATAGAATCAAATATAGAAAGGGTGAATAACAACTGGAAAGAGCTAGAAAGAATTGCCCATGACAGGGTTAGATGGAGAATGCTGGTGAGCGGCCTATGCTCCTTCACGAGGAGTAACAGGCGTAAGTAAGTAAATCATTTAAAAAATACCTAACAGAAAAGAAAAAAAGTCAATTCAATGTCCTGTTTAAAGTTCTATTGTATTATCTTTTCATACTTTATCATTTCATCTTTCATAGTAATCATCTTCTGTTAATGGAATCAATTTATCAGTACGCTGTAAGTTATATTCAAATTCAGCTAATTGTATCATAAAATTCCAACTTGGTTGCATCGGTATACAGATCTTTCGCAAATACATCCATGCATCCTACAAAAAATTAATAGAATTAAATAATTGTGTACAATATGATGAACTAAGTGAGGAAGAAAGAAACAATACGACAAGATAAAACTGGAATGATATACCACCATTGAAAACCTGGTAGCATTGGACGGTCATTTTGTCCTTTTATGGGACTCCTCAGCAATGTGAATACACGATTCTTCATGCACGACTCGAATTCTGGACCTTTGGTCTTGTGCGTGAACGCTTAAGTTTTAGATCGCTGAGCCAGCATCCAACCATGTCGGGTGCGAGGCAGTCGCCCACCGAAGACACTGGGAGATGATTGATTGAAATTAGACATTAACACCGCTGGACGCCGACCCAGTGACCGAGAGGTTAGGGGTTCGTGCGCAGGACTAAAGGTCCTGGGTTCGGATCCTGAGTGAGGAGTCGTGGATTCGCATTGCTGAAGAGCCCTGAACTAAGACGAAAAACCATTCAGTGCCCCTAGTTTTTCAACGGTAGTTTAACATTCATCAGTTCATGGTCTCAACTACAACTTACTATCAGTAGATTTGTCTATTCACTGATTGATCTCATGAAAATCGTATCGATTTAATAGTTTGTCACTACATATTTTATTTGTAGTGTGATGCCTACTATTCAATCATTTAGTTCAATGTTAAGCTGAAACATTTACTCGTATATACTCACATTTCAATGAGATTTACACTGCGAGAGTTATAGATCCTGGGTTTGAATTTCGTGAGGCAGGATCGTGGATGCGCACTGTTGAGGAGTCCCACAAGAGGACGAAACGGCTGTCCAGTGCTTCCAGGTTTTCTATGGTGGTTTAGCTTCAGTTCACATATGATCTCAACTATTGAAATATGTATCTAAATTCTAAATGTATTTGCATTATAAACTGTCAAAGGATGAATAAGGTAAGATTAATAAATAAATGAGGTTGTTTGAATTTGATAAAATAACACTGATTAGTGATTTAAAAAATCAAAATGTCTATTTAAAAAGATATTCATCATAAAACTTGACAATATTCTTTCCTACATGGACTCAAAAGACTAGCTTGGTTTCGGGGTAGGTAAGATGTTCGTCTGGCAAATGGAAAGACTAGTATCTTAGAAACTAATTCATCATGTTCTGTATTGTAACTATGAAATGTGTCCTTTATTGGTATGTGATCATAGTTATCTTCAAAGGATTGCTTGCATACGTTGGGCAGTTAAATGAACAGTGCTTAGGCTAGACTCTAAGAACTAGGTGAGGATGATAAATTGGTTGATAAGGTAGAAAATCTGTATCGACTGAGCTAGTTGAGTTATGTATAACCTATGACTAACCACCCCTAACCTTGATGTGATGTCTGCCGATATAGGGGTAGGTTGAAAGAAAGTTACTAATCGATAATTGAAAATGTGACATCAGTCGACAAAGTCATTGGTAATTAAACAAAACAATTTTGGTAGATGCAGTGTACCTGGTTGGTGTCTGTGAGCCCATCATAATCAGTGATTTGAGACTTTAGGTGACATGGCTCAATAGTCAGTCTCAGTGGATTAGAGATACTCATTCATTTCCTTATCTTATAGCTTGAGTTTCAAAATGATCTAATATTTTCTTTTTCAAAGTTTCAATAGCCAAATACTTAATTACTTACGTCTGTTACACCTTGTAGAGGAGCATAGGCCGCCCACCAGGATTTTCTATCAATCACCTATGCCTAATAATTTCTGCTACCATCGATATTATTAATACTTTCATTACTCTGTCATTTATCTTAACAACTAAATCTCCCTGTTTTGATGCTGTAAAGCAACTTAAACCAATATACACATCCGTCACGTTCTACATCGCTCATTGTAGTGCACGAGAACACAAGTGAGGAACAAGCAAGTGTATTTGGATACAAAATTACAGAATCTCTTAGTAAAATCTGAAAACCATACAATAAATACTTCATTTGCAAAATGTCAATCAATTGTCTTAGACTTGATTGTTCTTTCGTTTCCACATCCATCATTCTCTGTTCTTGTTCTCTTCCCTTCGATCTTCTTAACCTTCTACCACCAGGTTTTTCAATTTCGATTGATAATACATACTACTCATGTCTGTCCACATCAGTAGCACACAATACAATTATGGTGAACTACTAACATTCTTAAAAATTCTTTACAACGTAGTATAACATTTTAAGCAAAGATGGATAGTGGCTACCAGTGGAATCCAGTTTGACATGCGTTTCGTCCTATTTAGGACTGGTCAACTGGATGTACCTACATCATAGAGTTGATGTTCACTCTGTGATTCAAACTTAGTACCGCACCCTCCAAACACCATCGCGTTATCTACATAGATACTGAGCCCTACGTTCGAATCCCAGAGTGAATATTAATTCTGTGATGCAGATATATCTAGCTAACCAGTCCCAAATAGGAAGAAACGTGCATCAAACTGGATTCCATTGGTAGCCACTATCCATCTTTGCTTAGAATGATTGTGAACTAAGACAATATCAAGGCAATCCGTACAGGATGTACATATATCAATAAGAGACTGATCAATCGCAGTCCTAATCATCGATGGGAGGATTCAAGTTGAGCCCTACGTTCGAATCCCAGAGTGAACATTAATTCTGTGATGCAGATATATCTAGCTAACCAGTCCCAAATAGGATGAAACGCGCGCCAAACTGGATTTTACTGCTATTCATTTTTGCTTTAAAAAAGCTTGTGACTTAAAGTTATATCAAAGCAATACGCACAGGATGCATATATATATATATATATATATCAAGATGAAACGTATCAATTTCAGTCCTAAAAAACGATAGGAAGATACAAGTAAAACAACACCAAGTGAATTTAACGTTCACCCCAATGCACAAGCAGATGGCTATCAGGACTGAGCAGATAAGTGAATAACGCGATGGTACTATTCACTAAAAGAACAAAATAAAGTAATTTGATAGTTGAATTCTATTTCAACTTACTTTTAAACTCATTAATTCATATTTAATAAGATAAGCAATTGCAATCACTACAGACTGATTAAACATCCATTTTGAAATAATTAAAACACGTTGTCCTCTTAATCGTTTATCTTCTAAAATAAAAAATAAACATTTTTAAATTTTTGTTTTTCAACAAAGAAAGAAGGAATAATTTAGATAAGTATCAGTTTAGGAGTTGTGGAGATTGTTAAATTTTTTGATTGAGATCATGAACCGATTGATGTTAGACCACCATTGAAAACCTGGAAGCGCTGAACGGCTGTTTTGTCCTATTGTAGGATTGGTTGAGGTTAAACATTAACACCATTGGATGCCGGCTCAGTGGTCCAGTAGGTTAAGCGTTCGCACGCGAGACTGAAGGCCCTGGGTTCGAAGCCCACGAGCGAGATCATGGATGCGCACTGCTGAGGAGTCCCACGATAGGACGAAACAGTCATCCAGTGCTTCCAGGTTTTCCATGGTGGTCTAACATCAATCGGTTCATGATCTCAATCAAAATTTAGATAAGATTTAAATAAAAGTGGTGAGATCTATAATTTATGGATGATCTCTGAGCAACGCTAAAGTAATATTGAGAATATCCACCTAATGTCTAGGGTTAAATAAAGGTTATAAACCTGTATAAAGGATAAAGATTATGATTTACAGTTGATGATTTAGAATAGGAATTAGATTTACAGTTTTCATCGCAAACTAACATCAGCTATAATGTCAAGACTCTATTTAGCCAAATGGATAAGTGGATTTCGTGCCAAAATCCGAGTCCCATCACCTTATACCTGATTGGTTCATCTATAAATTATAGTCTCGCTGAATAATTGCTAAAACAAAACCTTTAAAACTAATGGATGATTACCTACAGTTTAAAAGTTATGCAACAAGTGAAATATTGATCCGGAGATTATACACAAGATTACAGAGAGTTTTCAATGCAGGAAAACTATAACATGATTTTGATAATGATATCAAGACTAAAACACTAATTATCTAGATTAGCCATCTTCTTTTGTATTGATCACTTTGATTGATCGTGTAGAGCCAATCCCATTGGTCAGTATACTAGGAATTTACATTTTTGTACTCGTGAACACCCTCCAGAGTAGTCAAGCTAATGGTTTGATCAGGGCAATAATCTTCTGCCAAAATCTGCCAGTATCAAAGTCCTTCAAACGATGGAATAAATCGGTATTCAGATTAAATAATTTGAGGTATGCATGAGAAGAAATCTGTTCAACCTTTATTCTTACATTGGCCGGCCTCAGACCCAATAAGGCGATAGTACTTCTTTATTATAAACTGATATAGTTTGGCTGATATTCACACAGCTCTCTGATTTTTAGTTTCATAACTTTAATTCTTCTTATTCAAGCATCATTGTATAATTATTACTATCATTATCCATAATCTCTCAACTACATGTACAATCTAGATACTCTTCATTCCTTTGTACTATAGCCTACTTGATTCCAAACACTTAGCAAGTTGTGTAACCTTCCGTTTATGATCTGAAACTACATTACTGTTTCTCTCATTCTACACTGCCTATATTTTTTTCTCATTATTAACTAACATATAAACTTATTCAAGTTAACGCGGCTTATTATTCATCTCAATATTGACTATTTTATTCATACGTTACAATTTCGAAACACATTCGTTTTAAGCTTGATCACTTCCTTGGATCATTAGCCTGAATGCGTGACTTCAGAACCTGATGACAATTTCTCGAAACGAATATTCTTCATTCGTATATCTGTGTTCTAATATGATGGGGAGTTTTAATAGTTACATAGCCCCCTATCCTATCATCTGACTAATTGTGTAAATACAATATCACCAAGAATACGTCTCATTTAATGTGCACGTCTGATCATAGTTTGAGGTATCAGTTGTTATTAGCAACAAGGTAAGTGCTATAGATAGTTACCTCCCCTAGATACAAAGATTCAAGCTATATAGTATGATTTTTTTAAATAAAAAATTGTACTTAGTCCCTGAGAACCGTAGACAAATTGGAAAGAAACAAAAGGTGATCAGTTTACAAAATGGTCAGAGTCGGGAATCCCTGTAATATAACAATATTAATTATGTTTAGCTAGTATTTACTCGTTTCCCTTGCATTTCATTGGTTAAATTAACTGTTGTAAAACTAGCTGTACTCTTATTGATTAACACATATTTCATTTAGACAGCTCAACTGTTTAAGAATAGATTGTTGTTCTATTTATCAACTTTCATATGAATTTGGTTTAAGCTAATCATGATTTATTGTAGAAACACTTGTTTTTTCTATGTTCTCATGCATAATTATCTTTGAATAGCAAAGTAATAATAATAGGAACCATATGAAAGATAGACTTACGAATAAAATCACAAGTGTTGTCCAAAAATGATAACAGTTTACAATTTTCAGTTGGTTGAATATTCAACATAGAGTCTTTACAATTCTGGTATCTAATGAGAATTGAAGAAAAACTCATTATATTCACGTAATCCAGTCAGTGTTTAATACCATTTACATAATAACACATCAAAATAAATTGCTGATGAATTTCTACCTGGTTGGGATCCGCGAGACGATAGCAACCGATGGTTAGACAACTTGAATGATATGGCTCAAAATCGTTTGCAATGGCGCAGGTGCATCCACTCTTTGTGTTCTCTCAAATTCTAACCTTCTGAATTCTTTATGTCCCTTTCTTTTTTTATCTTTCCAAATTTATTTCGTTCGATTATACTCCTTGAATAACATCTTCAACCCCTAATGTTTCCGATTACTGCTTATACTCTTACTACCTCTACCACTACGGGATTTGGATCGACAACTGCATCTCTGTGATAACGTGGTATGGCAACTCGAACTGATGCATGTACGTACAAAGTTCTACGTTATTACTGACTGACTGATTTAATTTAAAAATGATAAGTTCAACTAACGACTGAATATTGAAGAAATTCTGATGGCATACAACCTGTAGCATTATAACACCAACTGATTAAACACTAAGAAGATCAACTAGTTGATGACTAACGTTTAGACCAATAAGCCATTTAAAACATGAAATATTGTCACAGTGGCATATATGGTTCTCGAGCAAACTATATAAGTACTCATGATTGTATAATACGATCAAAGCACTAGTCAGTCAGTCAGTCACAATGCAGGACCAGGCACATATATGCATCGGTCCAAGTTGCCATACCTCATTAGCACAACAAGATGAACACCGGATTCATAAAAGTAGTTAATTCAGAAGTGGTAATATATAAAAGAAAGATTGCATATGAGGATATAGTACATGAAGAAAGAATTAGTTCGTAGAAAGTAAGATGTCTTAGTTTAAGGGAAGAAAGAGAGTGTATACACCGACGCCATTGTGATCGATTCTGAGCCATGTCACCAAGAGTCTCCAACCATTGGTTACGATAGTCACGCGGACTCCAACCAAGTAGTCTGCACCTACCAACATGGCTCAGACTATAAGTTAGTGACTTCAAGCACTGATGCCACGTTTTGGTTTAACCGCCCCCAACTTTCTTTCAACCATCTCCAACACCGGTTAGCATTGAACGTCGTGGTAATCGGTGTTCGGGCATACGTAACACGTGACCCAACCATCTCAGTCGATGAAGATTCCCAACTACGTAGTAGTATGTAAGTACTACCAGTTACGTTTTGACGATAAAATTTAGTTAGAAGAATAGTCAAGTGAAATTCCAAACAAGTCCGGTGGGTACATTTTGTTAGTTTAATCTGTTTTCTTAACTATCAAGACATTAATGCAGTTTGTGAAACTTTTTCACGAATTATTATTCAATATAAACAACAAATTTGGTTTATGAAAAGTTTTACCAACAATTATTTTAATATGTCTCTTAGAATTTCCAATATGAATTAAGGTTGGCTGACAAACATATGGGAAACATAATGGAGATAGAACCTGACATACATTCCACAACGTTGACTAGATTACCTTTACAGATTACAGCTTTTTACTGGAACGACAAGAAATCTGTAGTAAGTGTCCTCATTTGGGAGTATACAAAAAGTTCGTTAAATCACCACACTTAATGCATATTTTACTGAATAAAATTTGCTGAAACTTTGATCAAATGCTCTATTTGTAACAGATATAGAAACACTAAGGCTTGTTGTATCAAAAAACCACAAACGTATCAAAACAAGAAAGGTAAGAGTTGAACTAACATCACAATTGGTGAATAAACCGGAACTGGAAAAAATCATCCTACACTTAACTTTTTCATGTAACACAATTTTGGTTGGCTTAATGTAGCAAATTTTGTTAAGTCAGAACAACAATGAAAAATAATTAAATCAGTTCGTCATTCACAAACTCACATAGGATCGTCATTATCTAATGCACAATTTATATGTGCTACAATATTCATTTGTCTATGAAGTTTACGATCACCAGCATGTTGAACTGTACCAATATATAAAACATTCGGTAAAACTTCCAATGGGTAAGTAGAAAACGATTCAAGCTCCTTAAAATATAATATTTTGAAAAAAAGAGTATTATTATTTCCATAAATTATTAGCCTTTGTTCTATCAAACAAGTTTAGAACTAGCCTTATAGCTTTAAAGTAAATCACTCAATAAGCATTGCACAGTGATGCACACCTTGTTAATTATTCATAAAACCAGCTGAATAAAGATGATCAGTCATTATTCTTGACTATTTATCAAGAATATGTACGTGGAAAACTTTTGCGCTCATTAAATAACCAATATAATATTCTCCAGCTCACTCACTTCTGAGCACAATCAGATAAAACATTCATTACCATACTCTTTTTATAACGTTTAGAGTATATTTAGTTCAATGCAGTAATCAGTTTGGTGTTCTTGGTACTCAATCAAGTTGTTCTTTAAGTTCATTGGTTTTAATATCATTGGTAAGTATATAACCATTCTTTATACAAGATATGTAAAGTATGCTGTAAATTTCTGTTAAAACATCTCCCCAGCATACTACCACTTCACGTTGTTATAAGTAAATACTTGTACTAATTTTGCCATACTTTCCTGAACTTAAAAAGGATTAGTTCCACTTAAGTAATTACTATCTTTTTGTTTGGTTAATGTGATTTAAAAATTTTCTTTACATAATGCTTGTTTTCATCCTTCGTTAACGATACATAAAAATGATGTCCGAAACTTAAAGGTGCTGTATTTATCCGACCGATTATACTAGAACAATGACTTTGTGAATAAAACACTCTATGATAAACCATCAGGTCGTGTGTTCGTATCTCGTTTAATTTACTTCAGTTTAAACAACTAAGACTAATCATTTAGTAAAGTCGCACTTCCTGAATTCAATCGTTTAATCATAAGTCCCATATTATCTTTCCAGATAAAAACATCAGTTTTTGGTAGTTTAGTATCTTGTACTACTTCACACTTGCAGACTTTAATAACTCAGACAGCATGTGATAATCAAGTTATTTTTACCGTCACAATGACGCCACTCTTTTCGCAGGAAATTGTAATTTTCAGCAAATATACGTCTTATATTCATGTCTTTATAATTCCACGCCTATGCGCATTGTGTCATTCATGATTTTATTCAATGCCTGTGTGTTACACTGAATATAGTCTGTTCTGAGTTATATTAACGTTTGTAGTAAGTAGCATAAGTGAGTTGACATGTTTGCCTTATCTGCTTTGCTTTATTTTTCCTGATTGTCATAGTAGTGCCTGTATAAATAAGTGCTTGAGGTTGTGGTAACGTCCCATTACTTTTCTTTGTGTTTATAAATTGTAATTGATGTATTATAACATTAACTTTTGAATGCAATAACTTTATTGTCAGTTTTGAGTTAATGTACTTTTTTCACCAAAAAGTAAGTCTATCGACCTTAATTTACATTCAGCGTCTTATTACCGTCAACACACAAGCGGAGTTAGCCTAGATGTAATATACGGAATTAACTGAAAGATTTATATTCATGGCAGATTCTTTTATTCAAATTGAAGTCAGATAATCGGGACACAACATGGTAGTGTAGCGGTAAGTTAATCCCAAAATAAATAGCTGTGTAAGTTTTCGATACCCAATATATATCTCACATATTGATAGCCTGTCGAATATATCTTCGAACCTCCTCGCTTCTGTCTTTTGATTTCACTTGGTGGGTACGATTCACATGAGGCGTTACTGGTTAAAGCGTTGTCAAACTCCAAATACCTGTGGCATCTTCAGTAGAAACAAAAATACGATAAAAATTGGTGACAAACAGTCTTTAAATTGTGAAACGGGTCTTACTCGTGATAAGTACATTATTTTATCACTTCTCATGTATGGATATAAACGAGTAAATGTCTCAAATCCTCCTAAATATAAAACATAAACTATGTGAACTTCGTTTACAAACCTTCCAGTATTTTAACTAAGTGACGGCTCCCGTTATCATACAAAAGCTTTGCAGCTCTCACTGCATCCCCTGAAAGATTTAATGATTTAAATAAGAGAAGTCATAGGTACACCTTCAGAGTCCAATGATGATGTATTCCCATCATAAACAATGACATTCCACCTGCAGTCAAGTTCTGCCTCATAAGGTATTCTGAAAGAACAAAGATTCAACTAACAAATTAGTTAAAACATCTAGATACTCTTTTCAAATTCTTAGCTGTTATAATATGTGACTTATTATAGTCGTCAGCAGTTCGCGAGTCTTAAACACATCAAATGAATATATGTAGAAGTATTACCAAACAGGGCACAATAACATGGATCACTTATGAAAGCGTGAGTAAATTTCTGATTCAAAATGTTATACAGTTCACTTGGTTTTATAATCTCTAGTTTGGCCATGTTGAAATAACGCGTCCAAATAGTTATGACTATCAAGGTCAAATATAGTAATCAGTCTTCAGTAATAAGGATAGCAGGTCGATAGACCTGTGTCAATCTTGACAGTTTGCTTTCCAGTGAAAGTTTAGCTTCTCCTTGAAAATGTTCACTGATGGGGCTGATACCATTTGTTCGGGTAAGGTGTTCCAATCATTGACCGCTCAGTGAGAAAAACGGAACCCCACTTTTAGTTTATTAAGTGGCGGCTTGCGAACCTTTCTGCTATGACCTCGGAGATTGTTGTTGCTGGAGGGAGCAAAAAGATAAGACACATTGACACCCTAATCGTAATTAAAGATACGAAATGCCAATATAAGGTTACCTCGCAACCTACGATATTACAAGGGGGAAAGGTTTAGGCGTTTTAATTGCACATAGTAAAGAATTTTGAAAAGACCCTTCGCTGATTTTGTTCTCACACGCTGAACATGCTCAAGTGAGTTGATATCCTTGGTCATACATGAGCCAGATGCTTGGATACAGTACTCTAAGTGTGGACATACGTAGGTGGTATATAAAATTCGAAACATCTCGCCAAAGCATTTCAATGCACGGCGAGGTGACCGTAAGGCCTGAAGCACTTTGGCAACTGACACGTTGCAATGTGTAGTTGTTTTCAAGCCGTGGCTTATTATTACTCCTAAGTCTTTATGCTCCTGCATGCATGGAAGGGACGTACCGTCAATGGTATACTGGTAAATGTTACCATGCCCGATGTGTATGAACGTGCTCTTCCTATGATTAATTTCTAAGCCCCAACATCGAGCCCACCTGACTAATTCGTCTATTCCAGCTTGGAGATCAGAACGATTAGTTTCACCCCTCATTATCCTCCAGATTTTGACATTATCCGCAAACAATAATGTCGACGACTTAAGCAATCGCGGTAATTCATTAACGCAGAGAAGGAAAAGTAGGAGGCCTAAGATGGTGCCCTGGGGCATAACACCTTGACCGGCTCCTATCCAGATAGCGTCCGATTTACCCTCAGTCTGTCTGCGATCATATAAGAAGTTTACTATCCATTCCTGCACGGCACCTGTTATTCCGAAGCTCGAGAGCTTCTGCGCAAGACCTAAGTGTAAAACTTTGTCAAATGTTTTGCCGAAGTATATGAATATGAGCACGGACTAGCGGGTAAGCCAGGGATTTTCGCGCACACGTTACATATTGTCGTGGATTTTTTGTGTCGTTATTTATCAGCTATTAACAGGCTTTTTTGCATGACACATCAATTTCTGTATTGCTAGTGCTTGTAACATAGTTTTTATTCCAATTTATTGGCAGTTTGACGTATTTCTTGCTCACCACGTAAGTAAATCTGAAGTTAGCTTAATATAGTTATTTGTAACAATACAAACTCAAGCAAGTAAAGTTCACCGTGTTTCTAGTCAAAAAATACATCACAGATTGAGTTTTCATGAAAATGAACCGTAAAATCTTTTACATATGGTTCACCTCCTTGATTGCGGTGACGGTGAACATGGATGTCGGTAGTTGTTTATAAAATGTAAGTAGTAGCAATCAAGCGTTAACCTAATTGTGAATATTATATAACTTGTTTGTATTTAGCCATAAAAAGTTATATCCATTAGAGGTACCATTGTTTTGTACTGAAGTGACATAATTATGTAACGTATAAAAAAAATATGTGAGTAACAATTGACGTTTATAGTGTTGTCCAGCGGCTTTCTGAATGTCTGCAGTAATAGTGTATAACACCACATAAAGTAGGAACAAAATCTTCATGAATAAAACGATCGGTGTTTCTTGTGAGAATGGTGACACAACCATGTTTTTTAGTTAATGCTGATTTGTGACGTGTCTGTTATAGGGTTCACAAATGAGTTATTATATACTCTTCACTCCGTTTCGGTAATACAGTTGTTGTGTTACTTAGGAAGTTATGAATGAATGTCACTACTTGTTAATAAAAGACTTATAGGCACAGTCTGTTACTTGCTATTTGAATAACTTATTGAATATGATACTGAGAACAAAGTTTAATTGTTTGTCTCAAAACGGATTTGTTGTTTTTCAGAATAGTATGAAGCTTATGGAATTTAGGATTACGGAAGATCGTGTGGAAAACCGGTTTACAAGTTTACGATAACTGTTTTATATTGCCTACTGCTATGCTCATTCATCTAATGAATTATTTAAATATAAATATAACAACCATACGCAGTGTTTTATATTATAAATCCTGTAAGTTTGTATAATTATGGTCTAAATAAAGCCAAAACAAATATTGACGCACAATCATGTGACTGCATTACATTTCGTGGTTTCTTATAAGTTGCATACAACTGAATATGCATTATAATTTAAGATTGAGGGAAGAAATAGTATGAAATATAATAGAAAGCGAAGAATTGGAATGACCTAGGTTATCAATAATAACTATACATATGTATATGCTTGAACAGGTCAAAGGTCATTTGGTGTTAGACTTAAGGGAACATAAAGGATGGGTGGTGTAATAGTCGAGTGAAGCTCAGAAGCATATAAGATAAATTGTGTGATAATTCTAGATGTAATGAATAAATCAGTGAATTAAGAACTAATAAGATAAGTGAAGACAATCTGAAGAGTTAACATAATTTAGCAAAGAAGTGTGAGTGGAAGGGTGGTCTAAGGATTACGTAATCCATCTTATCAAGGAACTAGCTGCATGAAATTGTCTAGTTCCATACTAATACTAACTTGATAATGGACGTAATCTGACAACGGAAAATATGTAAGGCGGTTGTTTAATCTGTAAGGTTTTACGTGGAAGTCGCATTATTGTTTTATTTGACTCATTGATTCCTGACAATGAACAACGATATAACGCTAAGTTCTAACGACAGTTCGTAACTAATATAGTAGTACAAATTCTTAATTTTCACACACAATTATTCGTTAAAGCGATTGGTAAACCTCCCCATGAAAGTATGAAGAAGACGAAAATAAAAAATGAGAAAACGTTTATTGATTTTTCATGACTACTAAAGTGGAAAGATAAGTTTACAAGTTGTATAAATAGTGGTATAAAATAAAGCCACAAAGAACTGTTAATCGTAAACCTGCTGTCTAGCTGTTTATAATTCTTAAGTAAAAATTGTAGACCCTTCTCTCCACCTGATTCGCGAAGCGTTCACCATATTTCTCAACAATTCGTTGTTTGCACATTCTTTGGAGCCGTTGAAGTTGTATATATTCTTTACTTCGTCTCCGTAATGAAATTACTGTGTTGTTTTGTAAATTGTGCGTATTGTCTAATTTCCATCTACAGCAACACCTAAGAAGTTGATGAGCTATGCAGTTTATATTTTATAATTTAAATAGCTTACCTGTTAGACTTCATCTTTTAATATATGCCAGCAGGAGATGGCGGCACGGATATCGACACATATTAAACGTGCTACAATTGCATTCACAAATACTTACATCTACTTCGTAATGTTGTCCGCGGTCAAGCATAAACAACCACTCGCCGCTTTCATATTCTAAGTTAACGAAACGCATTCTTTTTAGTTCGTATAACACTTTGGATCTTGCGAATGGGGTCAACATGTTCAGCAAGGGTATAAGACGCTGTGGAGCATCATAATTGTATGTTCGTCCACTGATTATTTGGTCTTCCATGCTTTTTCTAGAGAATGTCATTGAACTCCACTTAAAAGCCTTGTACATGCATTTGTGCAAGCGGTCGCTTTTGCGTACATATCTTTTAATCTGCCTATTTAATGACTCAACACGATTATTCGTGTTGTTACCCAAAGTTAATACACTGCCGTAAAAGGCACGCGCCCACATTGTTTTACGTGGCATCCAGAAACGTGATAGGTACTGGCCTATCACTCTGTCTCTGCGGTTTATTATTCTGTAATATTGATTAAATCTAGTGAATAAATACATTAAAAAATTACCTTCCGACCGTTTCTGCGGTTACCAGTCGAGTCAAGTAGGTTTTTAGTATTTTATCATTTGTCTAAAAGAAATTTTATGTAACCAACCATTGGTGTACCTTTTTCCGGAAAGCGCGAATCACATGAAAGGCGCACAAAATAATGTTTGCATGCCCGTGTGTTATACGGACAGCCGCGCTTTCATATCGTGCGCAATCCATCACAAATGTTTCTGTTTTGGTCGTGTTACCCATTATCTCCTTGAATTTATCCAAAATCCACGTAACATCAGCACGCTTTTCTTTTTTTGTCCATGCAAACATAACAGTTTGACCTCGACCCCAATTGTCTGTTACCACTAACTGGAATAATGAATACCTACATAGTAGAACAAAACGAAAATCATATTCACTTTTTATTATTAGTTTTATAAGTAGAATCAATACACACGACTTCGGGATATTGATTGTACAACCGTATCTGATCATAACTGCTGAAGCATACCGCCGTAATAGATCCATTTTCTGCATGCTCTCTAACTTCACCGTTTTGTCGCATCATCTGCAATACCTGCTTCCGAGTCCAACCTGAAATATATTTATATACACTTACCAGTGGAGAGTTCAGCTTTCATATTTTTCACATCAGCAGCGGTCACCTGCTTACCTGTTCTTTCCTTAATACTTTCGATAACTTCGTCCGTCGACTGACAGTGCAATATAACTGGTTTCAAGTTTTCTTTTTCTTCTGATGACAATCGTTTACTCAACGGATCACAAACCATCCACGAACTAGTACACCGATGGTTGTGAGACATGTTGTGAGATTTTATAACGTATTGTTGACCCTCCAATCTTACGCGAAACATCGATTGGCAATTTAAAAATTTAGACCTTAAATGTAACACATTAGTTAGAGTCCTCACGGTTTTTTATTCACATTCAGACCTTCTGATTTACGTTTACGACCAAACGTACAACGAAACACGACGAACAAGTATTTATATCTCACATCCTTCAACAATCTACTTTCTGCGTGAACATAGTGTGTATGGGTCATCTGAGAAAACATAGATTTATCCCATCATACTTTATGGAAATCCTTTAGCGCATTATCTAATTCAATCCAGCTTCCGAATCTCTTATTCAGCATAATACGTTGGAACGCGTCGCTTACGTTCACTAAAATTTCACTTGAGCATGAAGCACTAGATACAACATACAATAGCTATTAAAAAAGGTTATTCCTTGAAAAAAATTAACTGAAGGAAGAACAACAAATATTTAGGACTTACCCTTCAGTTGACATTTCGTCTTAACTCACAAAAACTATGCGCATCTATAACCTTTTACGTTATTTTATCTTTCTTACGTTGTTTTCTGGACCTTATCAACAAATTATATATAGCTGTTGACTTTCACTACAGCACTTAGGACCACAGATCAAGTTTCGAAGGAACAACAGAGCTAAAGTGTGCACTACAAAACAGAAAATACTCAGTTAATGCTCTTAGCAGTTATTTAGTGTTTATTATGCATCAAAAGATGACTTATATATGGAAACATTTAATACTCATAGGACCCAACACACACACGGCAATTGAAATACGGAATACCCGCTTCCAGTCAGCACGTTCAAGGTCGTTGAAACGAAACGGAGGACAGATTTGAAAGGGATTACCGTTTATACCTTGCCATGAATATGGCATTAATGGGCAGACTGGTATCTACAGCTTCCGTCGAATCAACTCTCGCAATAAGTTGGTCAAGCATGAATGCTTGTTTCGAAACCCGTGTTGCTCGGGCGTTAACAGATTGTGTGAATCTATGTGACTTAATGACTATGCTGGTTAGACTGACATGTCGGTAGTTGGATATGATCTGTATCTGACTATCTTAAAAATAAGACTGACTAGCATCTTTACAATCTGGGGGGGGGTTGAGTGTGGGAAAAGGACATGTTGAAAAGCATCGCGCGTGGTCTTGAAATAATGTCCAAGACAGATGACAGCGATCGTGGGTGTAACCCATCAGAGCCTGGTATCTTACAAGGCTTGAGGTTGGTGATCAATGGAAGAACGGTTTCTTCAGTCACGCGTACAGGTCCTATGGCTAGTATCTCAGTGATGTGGTTAGGACAAGTACTTTTACCAATACACGTGGGGTAGACTTCTCAGAAGTAGTTTGGTAATGTCTCATCTTTTCCCAAATCTGATTCAGCCGGCAACTCTGAATTTTCGTGTGACAGTAATGGGAGAATACGTCATCCATTTCCAATCAGTCGCTGTTGTATCAACTTGACCACCGGCATCCAGTGGTGCTTCACTCATTAATTGTTTCGAGATGGAAACCCCTATTGTATGCTGCGCAGTGGGATGTTTGGCACGCGTCGTAACAGCACTTACAATACTGACACACTATTCGCCATCAGTACCCATGTAACAAGAATAGACCTCAACAACCGTTTCGCTAACCAGCGTCAGAATGTTAATTATCTCTTGGATGAGTAGTGTATTGCTAGAACAGCAAAGCACACAAAGCCATTGGGAGTGGGCCTTAGAGCAATTTTCATATGCAGTAGGACTGAAGCGAATACACACCTTATAGAGCTACTTGTTACACCCATCACATTGCCGTACTTCCTCCATAAGTGATCAGCGACATGAATGTCCACAATTATGATCACAACCGGGCATCTTAAAAATCAATTAAAAATGGCAATGCACAAGTGGATTTGAAAAAATTTCAAACCTTAACCGAAATAAATCGAGTAAAAGTTCACCAAGCATGTTTTGATGCAATAAATACGTAAAAGGAAAGTCAACTGTTAAGTCCAGATAAGTACAATGAATGGTAACTTTTTTGATCCATTTATGGACCAATACTATACGTATATTATTAACGTATTATTGTAATTAACTAAAGTGTTCATATCCATGTCCCTCTTATTATAAGCATTATTTTGACCTGTGAACTATTATTATACGATTTACCATTCTCGAATTATGCCCTGTCTATTAATTACTACCTCCTTCATTCACAGCCACATTTGGCTACGTACTGTACAAATGTTGTTTCCTATTTTATGGCACGATGTGGTCTGTTTGGTTTGTATATAAACCCAGTCTGTGTTGAAATAAATGATTCATAACGCAGAGGTTGATATTTGTGTTCTGGAATTAACAGGCAGGGTTAGGCGGGAAGCAGGACCGATAAGACTCTAGACCGCTCGCACGGGTTTTATGCATCATTGGTCCGATCGATAATTCACTGATCTCTGGTTGACGGTATTATTACGTATACATTAGCAGGGCACTCAGGCCACAAGTTATAACATCAACACACACATGTGCGAAATCCATTCGACTGAAATGAATTCATCTAAAGTGGAAACAGTAGATTTTATGTGTAATTTAAATCAGAGAGGACAAATACTATTGTCCTTTGCCAGATATTTACTAACTTCTCGTGCATCAAAAAAGCCTGTTAAGTAAATTGGGGGCCTAAACAATCGAGTAAATCTCCTGCATTCTGTTAATTTCATGATCACAAATATTTTGCCCATGGAGATGGTTCACAACGCTGTGGTAGACATAGGTTTGGAGTCATACTAACTCTGGCAACAACTTATTTTCTGGGTAGGCATCTAATGTTCATTCAAGCTTCACGACCCAAAATGAATACGACTACACGTATCTCATCTCTGCATTCACTCTTCTGTTCCTCTGATCAGCCTACTAATACACCACTAACGATGATTTTTCGCTGCTTATTGTTAACGTTATCCACAGACCTTCTCAATATCGTTTTCCGAAAATGTTTTTAAAAATTAGTGTGACATTCTCTTCAGGTGGGCTCTATAGTGTCTAGTACTACGTCAAGCCCATAAAAATCGTTCTAGCCTCGGAGTACGCCAGTTTATCTACTCTTTCTGAGCTACGCTCTGACCCTGTTAATTATTCGCCAATTAACCTTGACTGTTCTTCACACCAGAGTGAATCATTAGTATGGGCGACGTATATGGAGTCTGCTCGATTTGGACAGTAGCGGTGTGACCTTATGTATCAATTTGAAGTGACTAAATTGGTGGCTGTGTAGTTCTATTTTTTAGGAATACTATCCCATTTGCAATTATCGACAGTGTATCCCATGAGAGTGAGACGTGTGAATTAGTTAGTTGCCGCTTGAAATGCAAGGGACAAGAGCTACTGATTGGTTTGGTCTATCGCAGTCCAAGCTGTAAAATAAATGAGGTCCTGCTAAGCAGTCTCAATACTTGTTCACAAAGTGGTCGATGTCCAATCCTGAGGGACTTTAATGCACCTATGGTAGACTGGGAAATCCTGCGAACTTAATGGTCAGATAATTCCTTCGAGCAGGAACTAGTTGATACGGTTGATAAATTTTCACCTGATATGCCCTCAATTATCGTGTATTTCAAAGTAGAGAATTTACGAGGACACTCCAAAATAAGTTTACAAGCCCAAAACAAATTACTTGTCAGTTGACTATTGATTTTCCAATCGAATCATCAACGAGTGGAATTCATTATCTCAACACATGGTTGATGTTCCATCCATCGACTCTTTCAAAAGAAAGTTGGATCAACTGGGGGACCACCATTGCCAGGACTAACACAGGCCATCAAGCCTCCTGTCCTTTTCAAACTGAAACTGACGCTGATCTGACTGTATTGAAGGCTAGAGATTTACATGGTTAAGCCAATTCTATGCACCAATCTGTGGAGTGCAAGTGATCAGCCCGTGTTAATTGTTCCTGGTCTTGATAACCTTATGTAAAGTGTCTAACACCTGATGATCTGTTTGGTGAAAGACGTATATGACCTAAGCAGCCAATAAACCCCAAGTTTTATGTTAGTGAGCTTGTCAGTGAGATGTTTGTTCATGTTCTGTTTTCTTCTGTTGCAGCCTAACATTTAACAGCCAACACCATTGGCAAATCAATATTCACTCCAGCGAACAAGAAGGGACGGAAGACGTTTTACACAAGAGATATCAATGTTATTCTACTAACGCTATTACAAACAATCATGAGAAATCGGTCAAACCCAAACAATTTCGTTCAGCAGTATTAATTCCTAGTTCATTTTTCGGAAGTAATAAGACAAATTATGTAGTGATGCGATTTTAGGTATCAGAGAATTTCCTTTCCGAACCTCATTTTACGGACTGGAAAATTATCCGTTGAGCACACTTTGTACTTTGCGTAATTTATCCGGATGCACATTGAGTGTGTGTGTCCTAGTTACAGTTGATTCCAATCACGCATACTAAAAATCCTCGTTCTTATCTTTAGAGCATATGTTAATATGGTGTCTTCAGGTAACCGGCGTTTGTTACTTCATTATACTGCGTTTACTCGCGCAAACTTACCTCACTTATGGCCTTGAAAATAGATGAATTTTTGAAAATTCGTTTAATTTCTGCTCCGATGATGTGATGACGGAAAATTAAATGATACTCGATGGATAATCATGAAGACAACTTGAGGTCATTAATTGAAGAGGCGAGTCTTACCAGGAACAGCTCTTGTCTTCATCAAGGCAAAGCAGATACTTTAGTAGATCTTCCAACTTGTCTTTCTAAACGAAGTGATTTACCACCTATACAAAAACATGAAAGGCGATTTTCAAGCCATTCAGAAAAAAAATCAGTTACATTCTCGTTTTCTGGCAGTGAGCGAAGCAATCATATACTAAATGGTAGGTACTGTTTTGTGGAATGTCCTTAAACATGTTTTTGGTGTTTTAAATTAAAGAGTTACAGGGATATTGATTCTTACTTTTTTAATTTCGGCGAATCATTAGTTAGTATTTTAGTGATATCATCCGGCAATCGATTATTATCTATGACCATGAAATGGTTTTAGTGATATGAGACAGTTAATTCTCCAACTCATGCTCTTGTTGATGCAAAGTTTTTTATCTTGTTAGTTTCGCTTTATAGTACAAAAACTGGATCACAGATAGGTCCTCTCCAGTGCCTCAGGCCTCTTTTGAAGATACGTTTTCGGTTTTTGAATGTCGTTCAACTCTTTGAATGCTTTAGCCATAGCTTTTCATCTTGGTTTAACTTAAAAGCATGTTTTACAACAACAATACAGCAAAAATTGCGTTTTTGTGTTCCATTTATCATACCATAATTGTAAGACACTTGTTTTATCACAGAACCACAAGAGAAAACTAGTTAGTAAGGATGTATGCATTCTATTTTCTTATTGATGCATATCTGGTAGCTTAAAAAATTATGAATTTCACATAAACTGTATGCTAACATTTTAAGATTTAGGCTTACATGCTGTATTTTATTTCAAAGGATTTGTTAGAACAGCGAAAAAGTTTGGGAAACAAGGAATAATTAGAGGGCCTTTTGGGTTGAATATGTATTAACAACACCTAATATCGTTATGACCATCAGTCACTCATATCCAGTATAATTTCATTCGGACACAGCGCGACTAGCTATTTAAGCTAATCCTTCTGTGATATTAAGGACAAAATTCCAAACCTTTTGTCAGGAAAAGACGATGCCATATATTATATATGTATTTGAAAATATTGGCCGATGATGTACGACATGTGTCTTCATATTTTCAATTCTGTAATCTGCGAAGGAAATGCTCAACATCTCAAATTTTGATGAAACTATCTAGTTCAAGACCAACACTGTTCTCAACCAACGCCTAATATAACGAGGAGAGATGAGATTGCTTATTGGTTATTACTGTATAGTGTTATAGTTCAGTAGTACGACCAGCGATCGCGATTGTGCTACCACTAGATTGCATACTCCTTTGATATGTTGTGTACAAAATGAATCTTATTCGACTAGACACACTGTTTACAACCAAATGTGACGTATTAGAGTACAAACGAGGTAGTAGTTTGTTTAACGTAAGTACAACCAGCCGCACTCAGTGATTCTATGGTAGAAATTTTTGAAGGAAAGAAAATCACAGAATAGATAACCAATAAGTCTTATCTTTTGGTTTACATTCGGCGGCTAATCATGATCATTCTCACAGACCGCACATCAATATCGCATTTAATTTGTTGTCTAAATACTGCTTAAATACACAGGCAGTTACATTTTCTATAATCCAAAGCTTAACTGTTTAAAGAGTGAAAAGACATTTTCAGAAGACCTTCGTTACTCTGTAAAGAAGTGCTTTTATGTTTTCAAGCTTTTTTATTTCAGGTAGGTAAATAAAAACATTGTAGCAAGCGATATCAAATTGTTGTTGTTACAAGTGATTACCTAGTAGCTGTGATAGTAATATATATACTATATATACTATATATATACTAGATATGACTTTAAACAATTTGTGATTTGATAGCCAACGTTTTCATCATCATAGAGAACTAACGTAGCTTACAATTTACACTCTCATTGGAAGTACAAACATAAAAAGTCCATTGCTGTGATATAGTGTTTCGACAAAATATTTTGAAGTAGTTCCGTGAAACTATGTTTTAATTGCATTCAGACAGATGACAGTATTCCTAATTTCGTAACTGTTCCGTAGAGCGTAAAGAATTAAGTGGTGACCAGTCAACTTGGTATCGTGTTTACCTGTAATAGTTCCACTATTTTATTACTCATTGATAAGTATGTGAAAACCAGGTAGGAAGGTCTCCAGTAAGTATCCGCTCAAAAGTAAATACAGCACTTGGTAAGGAAAAATAAGACATCAGGTTTCGGCGTCTACCTTATAGATATGCTTATGTGACGAAGTATTTTGCCTAAATACTTGTAGCATCTTAAGAAATCATGATGAACTATTAAACTAAGTGACTACATTTTTTAGCGCAAACTGATTTCGTAGTCTGTATTCTTTGTCAATGACACAAACTTCCTCTGACTTCTAAGAAAACAAAACTTAATTTACCAACCATTTTGGTAACTTCGTAGACTATCAAAACAGATGTACTACTTAGGGGTTGATAAAAATTGTAGTTTCCAAGCATCTCAGATGACGATGCAACAATGCTTAAATTGCGTTTATGGTTTTCCATAAAGTAAAATACTGGTTAATATGTCTGCAAAGTTATCATTTCCCAGTAAATCATGGTAGATGTAACGTACTGTTCAGTTGAAAAAAGACAGACATGCGGGTTACGATATTTTATAGTTTAATGATTGCCTTTTTATCAATTTCAAACGACTACATAATGTTCTGTAATAAAAAGACTTTCATAGATTCATCGTCTTTGGTCCTTTTAAATGTATGTCAGATTATGTCCGCTAAGTGGTTCAGTAATTTTGAGTTTCAAATGAACTAGTAAACATGTCCGCAGGAGGTAAGATATACTGGAACAATTAAAACTGATTCATATACTGAATGATACAGAAAATCTTAGATTTTTCTACAACGTAGTCTAGCAGCTGTAAATAAACTGGCACTTAAAGACAGGAAAGGGTTGTAGACACTTACAGATGTATTGTATTTAAATTGGGAACAAAATGTGTGATTAAGTGAAATCATACATCTATAATATAATAGTCGTGCTTTTTATATCTTTGCACAGCAAATTTGGTTTAGAAGTATTAATCATGTTGTTGAATGTGCGTTACTGAATGCAGTTCACAGTTCATGGTTACCCATCTCATAAATCTGAACATTCTTAAGTAACTCTCGTATGAATTTATCCTTCATGTGGCATTTTTTACTGTAGTTATGTATGTTCATTAACAACACATTTACCTGATAGGTTAAACGAAATTTCAACTAATTTCCAAGACACACATGAACATAATCGTCTTTATTGATAAGTGTCGTGACCAAGGCTTGACTTGATAATTTCAAAGGAATTAAGCATTTGGTAGATTATGTTAAATAATAATAATATATTTGTAATATCCCAATGAGTAGAAAAATTAAATTTTTTGACGTTTCTTAACTCAATGTAAGCCACTTCTTCGGGGCCCGAAAAATAATCTCATGTTTATCTATTTAAGACCTTGTTCATACTCTTCTCAGCTTTCCTTCTTGACTTACTTTGTACATTGTTATGGGTTATATTTGGAAATGAACTATCGTAATTTTAAAGTGCCAATGACACATTGATAATAAACGGAAAACACAAAAGCATATGTCAATTACTAACAATCTGTAGTTGGCGTGATCAGTTTTTATGTTATGTCTGAAACAATTCTGGAATGTAAGATTAGTAAACTTTGTGCTCATCTATTACACGGATATATTTGAAATATGTAGACCCAAATCATACTGAAAACAATCATAGATGCAATGTAATCTCATTTCGTAATGAATCGTCAGTAACGTATACTGTTCGAAACCAATACTTATAGCTGTGATAGTAAGTAACACTGATAGCGTTATGGAACTCATTACTGCTAAAAACATTACTCTTTCTATCTTTAAAAATATTCAACACTAAGAAATATACAAGTAGTGATCTTTAGTAGCCTTGATATATTTATATGTATGGCCCCCAAATGTCCTGGTGCCCCCAAGTGCCCTGGTACGGCCGAGAGTGCGGAGAGTCCTCTCTACCTCTCGAAATGCTATCACATGGCCACGTGTATATAGCCCCTGTCAGGGGAGTCCTACTCACTGTCTTCTCGTGGCGGTGTTGTTGACGAAATTAATAAGACGAAGAGTGAATGTCCGTCGCTGTGATCGGTTTGCTGGATATGGAGAGTCCACCTAGGGAATTTGGTTGGAAAACCCTGATTCCAAACAAAAGGTGCACATGGGCTGGCTTTAGTATCCTGAAGGAACAAATGGCGTATGAACCAATTGTTGGTCACTGGCTACCATGTGACTGCATCTCCTTACGACTCTCCACTGCCTTGTGGATCAGACCTTCAGGTCGAAGGCTCCGGGTGTGGTCCCCTAAGAGAACCACCTGCTCCGGTTTGGGCACCCGTGCAGTATCACAGCCCTCACACATACCAAATGAGATTTGTGTGGCGCATATGTATTTGGTGCCTCCTTGTACCAATATCTGTGTGTCAAAATAAATAAAATATATTGCTAACAATATAGTGGAAATATTGAATTCTGACTCATTTGTTTCAGCTGTCTAGTTTCTAATAAATTGCCCTTTCTTATCACATATATTACGAACGAAAGCTATCCACTTTAAGGAAAATGAACAGGAATACATTTACTCAAGGAAGTTGACTTAAAAAAGATTTGGTTCAGATCAACATATTTTTGATAAAATACTGAACATTTTAAGTAAAGATACGAAGGCTCAAACTGTTATAGATGAATTGAATACTTTAACTCCAAAAATGTACTAGTTTATTATCAGAATCAACTAAAGATTTTTGTCAACCCAGGAACAACCATTTATCTACAGGCTAAAAATATGTTTTTATGTTTAAAAGTGACATTTCTTCCAAAAATGAAAAATGCTAGAAATTCTTAAAGAATTCGATAATCTCACATAAAGCCATACACATAAACGTTTTAATGTCTTTTATTCAAAGCTGTAGAAATGAACTGGAAGTTCAGTGAACTACGTGTTGTTTTGAAAATAGATAGTTTCTTATCAAACGACGTAGGAACTGACATAGATATGTATTGATCTTGGTTACCATACCTTATACAATTAAATTGGCAGTTGACTGAAAAGATGGAACATAGAAACAAGTGAATAAAGCTTTCATTCGAATTGATTCCCACATATATTACCTATAGTCTATCACAAATGATTGGGATAATCAC